TTCATGGTGAGGACTCCTTCAACTGGAACTGGTTGGTTGTTGAACCCGTAAATGGGACCATCATACCGTTGCAACAGAGCTGAATCTAACCCAAGACTCTCAAAGCAATGGAAGTACATGATGTCTGGTGCGCTCCCTGTGTCAACAAGGACACGCTGCACTTCACAATTGTTGATCGTGACAGAAGTGACTAGTGGATCATTGTGTGGTGTGACAACTGTCTCGAGATCAGCAGATGTGAAAGTGATGGGTTGATTCTTCCACTCAGCATCGTCAAATTTCTGCTTCTAAGCTCGGTTCTGGTGCTTAACCTCTCTGACATACAGCTTTCGCTGCTTGGAACTTAGTCCACCGGCTTCCAGACCCCCCGTAATCATGTGTATGACTCTGGCTGGTGGTGGGAGTGGGGGTGGGGCCTGCTGATATCCCACACCTTGCCTGTTTGGGGGATTGCGGACTCCTTGATGCTGTGTCCCTTGTTCCCTGACAAATCGTGGTTGCTCAATTCTCTGGATGTACTCATTCAGCATTCCTTTCTGCGCCAGGCTTTCCAGTTCGGACCTCAGACTATTGCATTGCTCTGTTGTATGACCGTGATCTTGATGAAAATCACAATACCGTGTATGGTCTCTAGTAGCAGCAGCAGTTCTCATTGGGCCCGGACGTCGTAAGTCCATTTTATTCTTAATCTGCATGAAGATTTGTGACCTCGGTAAATTAAAAGGAGTCCAATTAACTGGAGGTTTACTTGCAGGTTGTTGCGGAGGTGCTGAGTTCGGCCTGCCGAATCTCGGGGTCGACATCGGACCTTGGTTCCGTGTTATCTTCATCTGTTTCGTGTTCGGATTCTCATCTCTCCAGTCTGGGTGTTGGTGTTTAATAGGGGTGAGGTTCTGTGACAGGGCATATTCCTCAACGGTTATGAATTTCAACGATCGATCATTTACCTCACTGAAGGTGGTGGCAGGATGCTTAAGCAAACTTTCTCTGAATCTGTCATGGCCGAGACCTGAGATCACAGCCGTAATTCCCACTGCTTGGTCGAAAGAGTTAATCTCTAGCACTGCATCATTGAACCTGCTCATGAAATTCTTCAGAGATTCTCCATCCCTCTGCTTGACTCGCATCAGCTCGGAAGTGGTTTTCCTTATCAACCTTCTACTGGAAAACTTAGTGGCAAAAGCAGATGATAGTTCTGTGTACGAGTTGATTGATCTCGGAGGCAGACTGTAGTACCAGGTTCGAGCGTTACCTCGGAGAGTAGAGGGAAAGATTTTGCACATCAACGCATCAGAGGCGTTTTGGGCCTGCATACAAGAGTAGAAAGCATGTAGATGATCATCGGGGTCCTTCGTCCCATCATAAGTTTCAAGCTGTGGTATTCTGAAGCCAGCTGGATAGGGTTCCAGTACAATATTGGTGTTGAAAGGGTGAGGGACAGAGTCAGCAGTAGGATGTGGGGGTCGGACACCTCGTTGTTCAACCACTAACCTTTCTAAGCTATCTAGACGTCGAGTAACATCATCCTTAGGAGGTTGCTGGACCGGTGCAATGTGAGATTGACCTTGAGATTCACTAACAGCGGGGGCATGTTGAACTGGTTCAGGATTTTGTGGTGGGGCTGGATGTCGTGGTGGGGCAGGATTAAGCAGATTGATGAGTGGATCACCAGGATTGTTGCGGGCTAACAATTGAGCCAGCACTTGCTGAAAGACACCAAACTGCTGTTGCATGGCAGTGAGCTGAGTTGCAATTACGTCTTGGTTAGCGGTGGAGGCTGAGTTGTGAGCCGAATCATGTGGCTGATTTTCATCCCCTCCTTCTGTATGGTCAACATGAAGAAACACATTCGGGATTGGGGGTGGGGGATGAGGTGGAAGGTTGCTGGGGGCCTGACCTCGTCCAAGAGGCTGAGACGAGTTTCCACCTCGGGCTGACCTAGTTTTAACCATGATAAGAGCAACAAGGGA